ATATATATATATATAGAAAATCAGTTTTTGGAAACCTTCATGTTTTTCTCTTCGTTTGGTTTAAATTAATGCAGATGCAGAGAATTATTTCTTGCAGATACTGTAATAAATGGGGCCAATGACATTGCTTCGTGTGATGATCTAAAGCACTAAACTTAGTACATTGTTAGCTGGAATGGAGGGAAGGGGGACTTTTATTACTTTTATATAGAAGTGACTACCACTATACCTGTTGTATTCATTATATATTTCTCTGATCATGGGATATTCTGCTGCTCATGAAAGCTTCCTGTGATTTTAATGGTTCAAGATTTCGCTGGAGCATTACCCAGCATTACTTTCACCAATGGGCAAATTGATAAGGGTAAAAAGGAAAGAATATATAGTAAGAGTGTAGTCACTCTTATCGACTCTCGTCTATAATCTTAAAACACCAAATTACAAAGTATGGAAAATTTTATAATGAATACTCATTTACCTATTGATCAATTTAGCCTGAGCACCCTGTTAAGGCCATTTGCACCCTGCCAGTGCACTCATCCATTTGTGTTGGTAACAATATTCCGAGCCAGTGGTGTACCACCTGTGGCAGTGCGTGGCAATGCCATGGAGTATGCTGGCGACACAGACACTCAGGACTGTCAGCTAGAGGGGCTGAGAGGTTCCAGAATTTAAATTGTTTTGTAGGGAAGAAGCTGGCCTTTCAGTTTCTTTTGGTTTTTCTGGATTGTAACTGGGATCTGGATCTCTGGAGATTTCCGGGTGGGATGAAATCTCCAGTCAGATGTTGCCGGTGATCAGGTGGCTGAGAGCAGCCTCATTAAGAGCCCAGACCAGAGCTCAAGGGAGGAGTTGGTGTGGTGTGGGCTGCAGGCACATGAGGGCTCCTGCTGGGAAGAGCGATAGGTTGTGTCCAGGAGTCAGGAGGACTCCACCCTGAAGCCAGAGTGGAGCCAGGTGGCTGTGCGTGCCACCTAAGGAGTCTTAGTGAGCCTGTGACACACGGGGGATGTGTGGAAGAGTCACATGGAGTACATGTGACAATCTTGAGTTAGTGAGACATTGTGATATTGTCTACTTGCTGAAATATAATATAAGCAGACAAAAAGTTATTTTCTCTTACAAAAGAAATAAAAGACTGTCCTTTTTATGTAACAACTGCTTCAAGAGTGGCCCCTAAGCACTCACCGTTTGTGCTAAATTCCACAAATATCACACACCCTAATTCTGCCCTCCCCAAATTCCATATTTTTTTACAGATATCCTCTGTATGCCATTAATGTCTGTAACTATATAGACATTCATCAGCATGTACTGCACACATGTGGCATCATTACCAACAACTGGTTGGAGACTCTTGCAGAACTTGGAAGAACCCCAAAACGTAGGTGGATACAAGGATGGGAATAATGGAAGTATCAGCTAAGTCAAATAGGCCCCATGCTTATGATTGGTTTAAAAAAGAATGGCACACCACCTTCCTTGTAGTAAGTAGCACAGATAGCTTACACGGGATGCTAAGGATCAATTAATACTGTGGTGTAAGAGTATGAGAGTTCTTTTAGGCTACTATCCTGTTCTTGCACCATTGATATCATTGTAACGGGACACTGCGAAGTGCAAATCTAGACATTACCCATGATGCTGTCACAACTCTGCACATTGGGATCTTCTAAGTGTGCTCATTTGCATTAAAAAGGGCTACTAGTTTTTAGCTGCGGTGGAAGCTAGTGCCTCAACCAGACTGATAAGTCCATAAGCTGCTCTGCTCTCCACAATTCTCTTTTTGCTGATAGGTTTTAGATATTGTCTAGCAGTATTTGTATAAAGCATCCTTTCTCAACCTTTTTAACATGGACGAACCCTTGAAATAATTGGTTTGAGGCCTGGTTCACACACGGGCGTTTTACAGCGCTGATCGACGCGCTGTAAAACGCCCAGCAAGTGAAATCCCATTATTTCCTATGAGCATGGTTCCCTCCTGGGCGTATTTCAGCGCGTAGGAACGTTTCTTTTACCGAAAATCACAGTAGAAACACGCTGCAAACGCGCATATTCCGTACGCCCAGGTGTGAACCCAGCCTTAGAGAACCCCTGCCAATAATTACTATATCTACAGTTCATGATACATTAGCATGATGGTCAGTGGGAAGAATGCTCCTAACATTTGTAGGAACATTTGTGGTCAGTGAGAAGAATTTCCCCTTCACAGATCCCTAAAAAGATCATTGGCTTCATTGGTTACTGATCTGAGAGGGGGGAATAACTAATTGCTCAGGGAACCCCTAGCAACCTCTGGAGGAAACCTGGCTTAGAAAGGCTGGTATAAAGGATTTCTAGACCTTCCTGCTTTACAGTGCTACATATAGGAAGCATTGTGAACTGCAATAGATGTTTATACACTGGAAGATCATTTGGATAGGAAGCGGCTTTGTTGTCTCCCATGTCCAGCACCCATAACTGTCAAATTTGGCAATCACCATGTTGCAGATCAGGCCAGGGTACAGAATTGTCTGTCCATGTATGGACAACTTTAGGGAGAAGTATGCATGTTGTACCCAAGCTTCCTCATTTCCTTCACCCCTTGATGGATTTCTACCATCCAGACAACTAGAAGGACATGTTGCAGATCAGGCCAGGGTACAGTATGGTCTGTCCATATATGGCCAACTGTAGGAAAAAGTATACATGTTGTACCCAACTTCCTCATTTTCTTCACCCCTTGAGGGTTTTCTACCATCCAGACATTAGAAGGACAGTGAAATCTAAACCGGTTCCACATGCACAAGAAGCTAATGCTTGCCATTTGCTATCACAGCCAAGTGTGCGTCCTGGCACCAGTTACTGTAAAATCGTATTAGGTCCAATGGCCCTAGTGCAGTCAGAGGCTTAATTCATGACTGTCAATGTAACAGAACACTGATTTCTGCATGCACCACTCAATGGTAACTACGAAAAAAATCAGCTGAAATATTCCTTCCTCAGAGCACGGTAGCCGAGATCACAGTGCGTAAATATCATTTAAAATTGATATATGAATTAACCTCCTGCTGTAACCTAGTGGTATAGAGGAATTAACTTTTAATACTGTATATACTTGGTAATCGCCTTTTTATTTATGACTCAGAGAATTCCATTACGAGAACACGCATCTTTTAATTGGCTGTGCATTTATGTGCTGAACGTAATAATTTTGTCGCAGTCAGTGGTTGGTCCGCGCGGTTGACAGCCTCTTTATACTCACCGAAACCCTTAGCAATCCCAAAGGCTACATGAGGGGGTTGTTGCCTAATGGGGAAACGTCAAGACACCTATGAAAATCCCAATCAGTTGTAGTTGATGTAGACTTTCAAATATTTGATTGCTTTCTACAGAAGGTTTGATTGATATATTTTGAGTGAATGCTTCACCCTGTAATTTGTCTTTGTTAGAACACTCTTCCTATACCGCTGTCTTTATCTCTTCAGTGGTGTCTTTGTAATCATAATACCTTCATTTTAATCTGCTGGATGGTTCCTCAAATTAACATGAGTGAAATATCCATGCACTGCTTGTAATCTTGAAGTACATGAGCACCCTAGAAGGTCAGTCTACCTAGACCTGATATTTTGGCTTTGGAAAGATAAAGGTAAAGCAGAAGTTGAATCTGCTTATATTTTGCCTTTCTTGGTTCCTCACTTCTTGGGCTGGATTTACTCTCTCTGCTGCCCTTAAGGCCAGGTTCCTCAATGCGCCCCCCTCCCTGCCAAAACACCCCACCCCAATGGAGAATGGAAACCAGATGGTGGGGGCAGCAGGGTTAGTTCTATTTTTTTTATCACTTTTTTAATTTTTTTAAAATGTATTTATTTTAAAAACTTTTACTCTTTATTTTTTATATTTTTTTATCTTATTTTTAAAATTTTTATTTTTTTATAATTTTATTGTCTTTTTATTTTTTTCTCATTATTGTTTA